CTCCATCCCCTGCCTGTGTGAAAGTGGTGGGGTGAGACCCTTTGTCCAGGGTGGGACACACACACACACACGAAACACCACGACCGTCCACACACCGCGGTCCAACTACATCACAATGAGGAAGCAAAGGCTTCAAAACTGTAATATTTTGTTACATAATATATATAATATATATTAACTTTATTTAAACAATAATGTAGACTCTTGATTGAGAATATCCCCTCATTTGGATTGTAGAACTAATCAAGAGTCTACATGGGTGCTAGCACACATCAAGCACGTGTGTTTCAGCACCTTGCTGTGGCCTTCAGGCCAGCTCGCCCTGGTGCGCACCTTCCCCGAGGTGCGCACCGAACCGTGCCCCGAACCGACCCGTGGACCGAACGACCGTGGGGTGAGACCGAGTAGTGACCGAGTAGGTCGTTCAACCCCCTGCGTTCCAAGGACCGTTTCCGGTGAAGCACCAGCTGGAGTCCTTTGGAGTCTAAAACTGCCCACGGGGGGTCTAAACGTGAACGTTTTCGCTCACGTTTCGCCCAAGCATGCGATGCATACATACTTGCGCAAGGTTGCACAAGCTCCATACTGCAATCAAGTAGCTCAGATGACATTGTTGTTCATGGTTGTTCATAACTTAGTTTATTCCCTTTGTGTTGTTTGCTTGTTGAAGACAGGGGGTTCACATGCGTGAATGGCATTCATACTTCAACATGTCCTCAACCATTCAAGGCAGAATCTGCTCACGGAATACGGATTTGTTTGCGCAAGGTTCGGGCTTCGGGCGATGGCGTCTGCGCAAGGTTCGTTTTACATCGCAACAACTGAAAGCTCAGTTGGGGTCACGAACTGAACCAGCTTCTCCGGTCGTTCTCCGTTCTTCGTGGGGGCCGCTGATGCGATCCCCCACGATCCGCGCCGAATGGCTCCGGCGAACCGGCGAACCGGTCAGGCCATGGGCGAACTGAAGAAGTTCTGCCAGGCTCGGGCGATCCACGCCGCGGACGGACGGACGGCACGTGGACGGTCGGTGAGAAATGGGTGCGGCCCGTGGTGCGTTGGGCAGTCGGCCCTCGTTGTGCTTTGTTGTGTGAGCAAGCCAACCACAAAAGTTGGGGTTCCTCTTGCAATTCCTCAGATTTACAGATTCAATCCGATGTTTGATGTCTGAGTTCAGACATGTACCAAGTACTGAGCCGTAGACAAGGCCACCCAGACAGTTCAGGTACCATCGTCGGCCCTTTTGGAGGGTCGGTACTTGGGCGTTGTAGATAGCTTTAGGTAGACCTGACCATCCATAAATCAAAAATATGCAAACACACTAGTTGTCGTTTGGAATCTTCTTGTCACGTACAAGCAGCCTGTTCACTCCTTTTTCCGACTGCCACTGCCTGTTCACTCGGGCCAGCCCAGCTGTGAGGTGAGAAGGGGCGCTTGAGGCTGCGAGGCTCCGCGGAGCTTCGACGAAGACTTGCCACTGAAACCTGGAGCGAAGTGAAGCTGAAGCCATCCACTTCCATCCTTGATTTCAGGGAGTGTGAAACACTGCAGGCCGGTCGTGGCAGTAGCAGATTGCTCCTTTCCCTACACAGGAAGATGGGTGGATCAGCTGCTGGTCACTTTTTTTGAAGATACAAAACACTGCAGGAAATATGAACAGAAGGAAGGAAAGCTCGGTTTACCCAGGGATCTCCGGCTTACTCGGGCAGCGAGTCGGTAAGGCACCCACGTTTCTGCTTGAGAGGCTGCCTCGTTGAAGCAGGTGTCACGATCCATGGCCTCGGGTGCAGCCCGTTTTATTGCTTTTGATTGGCTTATTAATATATTATATTTGTTTGCCTTTCTTTAACCTCCATCCTAACGATGGCCTCCAAGCTAGTAGCAATGCGCGGTGGAAAGAAAATCTATAAGCGAAGATGATAGGCTCCGGCTTCGAGTTCTTCTCCAGCGCTGCATGAGAAGACCGATCCATCCTGCTTTGCGAGGAAAGTGGCGAAGCGTCTGAATTCGGTGGGAGAATGCGATGCATTCCCAGCTGGCTGTTTGCTTGTACAACCAAGTTCTTAGAAGGACATCAGCAGCCTGTAAGTGATGCGATGGTTGATGCTGCCCTGAAGTGTGGAACCCTGGTTGTCCTAGCTCACCAACAAAACCTATAGTAACTATGGCCTCCAACCTAATAGCGATGGCCTCCATTGTTGATCCTGTATCCTTTGCATATTCCTTACAATTTTGTACATAAGCCCCCGAATGGGCCAAGCCTTCGCAATCACAGCCCTTGTGAGCCAAAAAGACCATGGCGTTGGGATGCCAGCTCAGCGTGGCGTTAGTGAGCAGAGTTGCTAACCTGCACGATGGGGGGTCACTCAAGCTCCTACCCAGGAAAAGTGGATAACCTGCAAAGCCTTTTTGGGGGGGATTGGTTTCCCCACTACACAAGACTAGGTTGAAAAAGGTCTCTATCTTCCCAGAGAACTCAGGGAGTGAGACAGACCTCTTCATTCCCGTCCAGGACTTGTGTCGTCCTGAGGGAAGTGATTGGCCCAGATTTGTCTTCGTGCTCCAGCTGAGTTGACCTCACCTGGTTCGGTGGTTTGAGAGAGTGTCGTCTCGAACCAATTTGAACCCCAAATGATTGCACCTGGAGGAAGAATCGTCCCAACATCAATCGGAATCGGAATAAGGACCTATTTTGGGCTTCAGATTCTTATCACTCCTAGGACTTCAGGATGGCTATAATCTTGGGCCGGCGGACAGACAAACGTCAATTCAAGAAAACCTGCACTCCCTGGAATCATCATGAGTGGAAAATGGCTCTTGGATGACCATCGAAATCCTCTACAAACGGGTGATCATTCCAAGGAGTGCATGTGCATGTTGTTGTTCCGGAAATGGTCTTTGAGCTCCCGGGAGGGGACACTCCCTCGGCCAGAATCCGTTTGGATGGGTTTTAAGAGCACATCATGATAAGGGAGTGTCACCAACTAATCGTAAGCTGTGAATGCCAAAACATCTATGTCTATATTGCACCTAGCAACTAGGTGTTTGTTGCAGCTTCCCTGTTCTGCTGAACTGATCGAACCTCGTCCAGTCCTTTGTGCCTCTGCGGACCTCGGCAGACCTTGCTGGCACGAGTGCGCGCGGAACGCGGACGTTTCGCCGCAGGAGACCCGGCGCCACGAACGGTGGCGACGGATCCAGGCGACGACGCACACGCCGAACGCGGCGGATCGGACGGAGGGAGGGAGACGAGTGGGGTGAAGACTCCCGGAAGCACCGGTGAAAAGGTTCCGAAGAAGGGAATCTCCGAAAAAGGCGGCCCAGGGGAAGGTGGGAAGTGTCCACTTCTCCCAAGAATGCGCAGATGTCGTTGTGAAAGACTCAAGTGCCAGGCTTGGCCTAGGCCTCGCAGATGTCTCATCAGCCTTCGTAACTGGGGTAGTCGCTCCATGGGTGTTGAACACAAAGAACATGAAAGAGCTGTTCTCAGGAACTGTCAGGTTCATGTCAAGACCAATCACCCTGGGGACCCTGAGTACACTGCCTGTCTTTCTGGATATATACCTAGGAGGCCAGCTTGCTGGCACAGGAGATGTTCTTTTAAACTTCAGCAGATGTCACCTGATCACAGTTTGCTTGTTTTTCTTCGTGGCAAGTGATGCATGAAACCAAAAAGTGGGCGAGGTCCTTTCCCCCCGAACCCTCCCCCACCCCAAACGACCCTGAGAAATGACCTGCGGTTTCGACGATTTTCCTCTACGCAACACGCACGGGCGACGATCCGTTGACACCCCTTGGTTAAAAACCGGGTGTGGATGTAAGAAGGACAGGCGGTTCCAGACGCGGTTCCTTTTTGCGGTATAGGCACTTCAGATATAATACTATATACATATATGACATCCATCTCATGAGTGGCATGCTGATCGGGCTGAAGCTGTTTGGGGATCAAGATACATGAGTTGGACTTTTTTTGGTGCCTGACGTTCTCAGGGAACTCAGGTACTTCGCAGGCGGCACCAGCTGCCCTTGGGGTTTCGTCGGCCTCGCCATTTGTCTCGTGTGCTGCAGTTGCTTCATCACTGGATTTTTGTGTGCCACTGCCATCTTTTCCCATCACTGCCGCCGATTTTTTGGCTTTGTGGTTCGGGGCCTTGCGGTGACTGTCCAGCCTGTTGAAGTGTCAGCTGGGGTGGGACTTCAAACTAGATTGAGTGAGTATCGGCGACGTGCGTGAGCCGTGGCCCATCTGATCCAGTTGAGAGCTTAGTGATTTTGCTAGGGCAGCTGGAACTCACCATCTCAGTGCGGCACCGGGATCGCTCCAACCGGGATCCTTTGCCTAGCTTGAGCTTGGGTACCCCCTCTGGTTATCCTGCTTCGAGCGTTAGAAGTGTGGCAAGTTGGGAACCAGTTTCCACTGCACCTGGTTTGCCCGAGGCTTTGATCAATCAAGCGGTGCGAGCAACAAATCCTACTGCCTTTGCTGCCTTGGACCTTAGCCATCTCGGTCTAGCTCAACATCGACTGACTGGTCAGGATCGTTTGTGGAGCCCAGCAGCCAGATTGGGTCGTGCATTTAAGGCAGGAGTGATCGCAAGGTTCCGCCTCAACGGTGACATCCGTAACGAGGCCAGTCCAAGTGTGCCTTTCAGAAACTCCTACTACGTTGTGCTCAGGAACGGGCCTGGTTTCTGGACCACCAGTTACCGGTCCTACATCGCCCAAGTGTCAGATCCCAGGGGACTTCGTGAGCCTGAAAGCTCCACCATTTCCCACGGATTTGCCTCCCAAGCAGAGCGTGCGGCTTACATCAGCGGCGCCCAAGTTGAATGGCCGGAGCAGTGAGCAGAGAATTAGACCGTGAGACAATCTCCACTTTGGCCAGGGTCAGTGGCGCAGGTAAAGTGTTATCTGTGATTCATTTGATTCTTGCCGAAGGCAGTGAAGATTCCAATCCCTCAATAGCAGTATGTCACGTGGTGCAAGTCCGCTCAGGTGGCTTCATGCTGTCAATCCCGAATTCACCAGAAGTGCAAGACTTTTTGCTGTCAATAGATGCTGGCACCGAAGTACTGCCAGAATTTCACCCAGGAACCGTCAGTGTTTTGTCGAATCGAGGCCGGGCTTTAGGAGAAGCCGAAGTGATGCTAGTGGATCTGCCTTGGGATTTTGCTGGGCATTTTGTCAAGCCAGTGAACCTTCGCAGCGCCGCATATGGCAATTGCGAAGTCACTCAGGTCGAAATCAATGGCACAGCAGGCCGGCCCTCAAAAGAGTCGGTGTTTCAGCTTGCCGATATATGGATCAACAGCGGCATCATGGATCAAACCTCAGCTGCAGAATATGGTTCAGCCGAAGAGTTTGTGGAGGCCCCGGAGACTTCGGGTCAAGCAGGAGAAGCCGAGGCAGAGGACTTGGGTTCAGTAGATGGTGCTCCTCTCAGCTCCGAGCAGCTGTTGCTTGCTCGAATTGCCGAATTGGAGGGAAGGTTGAAAGCCGTGCAAAACCAGCCCAGCCCAAAAGCCCCTCTGTTGCCTGGCCCAACACCGAAGGCACCACCTATGTTCGGTGTACAGCAAAGCCCCCTGTCTTCCAGTCAGTGGGCCAAGATCCAGAAGCTTGCAGGTTCTCCCCCTCCGAGAGTGGGCAATTTGGAAACAAGGCGAGTCAGTTTGCCAACCAGAACAGTTGCCGACGACAGTGCGTTGATCCTGCACGAACGAGAAGCAGAAGAAGATGCACTACCATTGGCGCTGACGAATCCGGAAATGGAAGCCCTGGACCCTATGCAAAAAATGCTGGACATGCAGCTTCAACAAAACCAGTTGCTGCTACAACGGTTGTTGCCGAAGAGTCAAGATCCAGTCCTGGGCGCGCTGTCCGGTTCGGACAGCGGCTCAGGAGGAAGCTCAAACATCAAGGGCTGCCTCGCCCGAGAAGCCTTCCAAAGAGCTATAGGCGACCTTCCAAAAGTCGCAATGCAAGCTCGCGCCAATGCTCTCCGAGAACTCGGCCTGAGTCCAGCTCGGGAAGATGCTTCCCTCATGAGGAAGTATGTGGAACGCCGCATCCCATTAGCAGAGTTCAAGACTTTGGCGATGGTGGCCACAATGTTAGCAGAGTCATGGGCGGTTGGTTTCGAGCTGCAGGATCAAGCCTTGATGGGGACCGTAGCCAGAATGTTGTTCTTCGTCGAACAATGTGCAATCGACGGGGGCAAGACTCAACTTGCCTGGCTCCTGACTGAGTATACCGAACCGGCCATGCACATGATGCTCACAGCCAAGAAAAGACCCGGCTTGGAACCATTTTCAAGACTTTGTCCTCCGAGTTGGGTGTCAGCAAATGTCTCTTACCTCCGGGACTTGGATTACATGGAAACTCGTCTTGCCAATGTGGGAAAGCCAGGGAAACTGTCAAAAGCCCATGTAAGCGAGGACGAGAAGGACGACAAGCCCAGGAAGCCGAATCCAAAGGCCAAGGGGAGAGGCAAAGGCAAGCAGAACCAGAGTGCCGCTCAGGGCAACGATTCGACACAGGCTGCCGGATGACAGGCCGGAATGATAGTGGGTCTAAAAATCCAAACCCTCAAGGGATAAGTGGTTGTAACCCTTTTGATTCCGGGGATGCTTTTGATAGTAATGCCGGACGCACTGATGGAGATTTTTGTGACATGCATGCTCAGCCTTTTTCCAAACAGCAGTTTTGCCCCATCCAGCTTATGCAAGTTCTGATTGATGACTTTTGGAAGATTTCAAGTTGTCTTACTTTCTTCTGTCGAGCCAGTTTGGTTCGTTCCACCTGCACTGTGCAGGGGTTGCCACAGCAGCCCTTATGGCCTGTCCCCCCCTTCAGGTGGCGTTGGACGGCAAGGAAAAACCCCAATCCTCGCCAGCGAAAGCGCAGACGATTCCATGAGACGAGAGCCAAACTGGTCAATCTTTTGCTGTGCACGTTGAATTGGGAAACGTTGGGGTGCCCGAAGGTGCCTCCATCCTGTGCTCAATTAGGAGCACCAATTTCAACTCACCAGCATAAGGTCATCGAACGTCTCGAGGCCTTGGTGACCCATTTCCTTCACATGCCATGCTTTGAAGGCCATGAGCTGGGTCGTGCCACAGGTAAATTTGAGGGTTTAATTAACTCATTGCAGGAACTGCCTATCACAAATGTAGGTTCCGAGGACCTCTATGAGTTGCTCAGCCAATTGCACAGAAGTTTTGATCCATACAGTTCGCATTTTGCGAGTTCGTTAGATTTGCATCGCCCAGCTCAGTCGGAAGCGAAAGTAGCCAGTGGAAGCACCGTTACAGTGACCATGCCGAGTGCCAAACCGGTGACTGCCGCTCGTGTGAAGTGGGAAAATCCGCCGTCGTTCGAAGCTGCAGAATACTTGGACCCCTTGGTCAAGGCCGCCTTTTTAGATCCAGAGACCCTTAGGTTACCCAGAGAAGTTTGGCCCCCTTCTAAGCCAGCCAAGATGCACATCACTAGGTCTGAACTGCTGAGTTTAGTCGATCGTTGGGATAAGCTTGGTGCCTGTTGCTTAATCCCCTTGGATAGTAAAGATTATTCGGAAGCAGTAGGTATTTTTGCTGTTGACAAAGATGCCATTTATGACCGTTTGATCATCAATCCAAAAACCATAAACAGCAGAATGGCCAGTTTGTCTTATACCACTAAGGAACTTGCACCCGGGTGTATGCTTTCATTGCTCAGTTTGAAACCTGGTGAAATGTTTCGGTTCTCGGCTGATGATTTGTCTGATTATTACTACTGTTTCAAAGTCACCCCTAAACGGGCATCGCGCAATGCTTTTAGGATGATCTTTGATGCTCATGAAGTTGAACATTTGTCGTGTTTCCAGGGACAGCATCGTGGTAGGAAAGTTTTGGTTTGCCTTGCTACCCTTGCAATGGGTGACTCACTTGCGGTCGAGATTGGTCAGCAGGCCCACAAACATGTTTTGCAAGTTTGGGCTGGTTCCATGAAAGCCCATGAATCCCTTAGGTATCGCACGCCTGTGCCAAGAGGAGATTTCATTGAACTTTTGGCCATTGATGATCATGTAGGCATCCAACGCTTGCCCATTTCAGATTTCCCGAACAACCCCCGTCTCCGTGACACTATGGTGTTTGATCATGCTGCTATCGGGTATAAAGCAGTAGGCCTTATCCAACATGAGAAAAAGAGGAAACGTGATCAAACCCAGGGTACCATTTTGGGAGCTGATTTCGACGGTCTCACTGGCAGAGTTATGGCCCCCAGAGAGCGAATTGCAGTCTTAAGTGTAATCACCCTGAAAATTGTTCAAAAAGGTTCATGCACCCGTCGGTTGCTCTCGGTTTTGCTAGGGTGTTGGATCCATGTCATGTTGTTTCGTAGGGCCCTTTTTTCGGTGATCGAGGAGGTCTTCAAAGAAAGCATGAACCTCCCTCAGGATGAAATTTGTGCTTTGAGCCGGAGAGCCTTGTGCGAGCTCCAAGTGTTAGCAGTTCTTGGCCCTGTCGCACAGAGCGATCTCCGTGTACAGCATAGTCCCAAACTGTACTGCACCGATGCATCGCCAACCGGCGGTGCAGTAATATATGCAAATGTAGGGTCCCAGGTCACCGAAGAGTTATGGCGTCATACCGAGCAACGGGGGTTCTACACAAAGCTTCAGTCCCCAGTCGCAGAAATTCTCCAAGAAAAGGGTATTGAGCCTGAATCTAACGCACAATTTCTTAGTGGTGATCCCATTCCCCAAGATAGTCCCATCCTTAACAAACCATTGAGTGAAGGTATTATCTATGACTGCATTGAACTTTTCCGGGGAGAAGGCAACTGGTCAACAGCTCATGTTGTACGTGGTTTTAGGGTCCATGATGGAGTCGACATTTCGGGGCGCCGCCTGCGCTTCATGGATTTGTCGGACCGTGCCGTTTTTCATGAGCTTCGCGCTTTAGCATTGCGACGTGTATGCCTTGACTGGCATGCCGGAGTCCCTTGCCTAAGTTATGGAACTCTACGACGCCCTCAAGTAAGGAGCAAATCATGTCCAGCTGGTTTTAACCCCGATGACCCTTTCACTGCATTCCACAACATGTTAGCTCGTAGGACGGCGTTTCTGCTGACACTCGTGTTGCTGTCAGGTCACTTCATCAGCGTGGAGCAACCTGGCTCGAGCCGCTTGTTCTTGCTGCACTGTTACCGAGTGCTGGTGTCCCTAGGTTGCGTAATTAGCCATTTTTGTTTTTGCAGTTTCGGAAGCCCTTTCCAGAAAGCTTCCAAATGGCTTCACAACAAGCCCTGGGTTCTGCCTCTCGAATGCCAGTGCAGATGCCGATATCGCGGTCAGCATTTTTCAGCCATCCTCTAAGCATGTTTATGGTAGGTCTCCCCGCATAGGTGAAACAGTAGCCAGTTTTTCAGCCCTATACCCCCTGAAGCTCGTTCAAAGCATGGCTTCAGGTCTTAGCGACGCTGTGGCTGGCAAAGTTGCAGTTATCCCGTTATCCGTGCGACTTAGATCCCTGGTCGAAGTCGGATACACAGAGGCAGATCTGGCCCCAGCTAGAAGCACGGAGCCTTTGTTTGCGGATCGACCTTGGCACGAAAGCCCTGAATGGATTTCGGAATTGTGTGACTGTTTGCCGTTTAGGGAGGCCTTTAGGTACAAGTTCAAAAAGCCAGGTCATATCAATGTCAACGAACTTCGAACTTTCAAATCGTTCATCAAAGCATGTGCAAAAAGCGAACCAGACAGTCGCATCGTAGCGTTATTAGATTCCAGAGTTAGTATTGGTGCTGCATCTAAAGGTAGATCATCATCTTTTGCTCTTAGTCGGGTTTTACGTGGTTCCCTCGCATATATCATCGGAAGTGGGTTATATCCCGGTTTGTTGCATTGTCCTTCCCAGGTCAACCGGAGTGACGGTCCGTCTCGTCAGCGGCCCATTGCGCCCCCGACCAAGGATGACACCTCTGGTTTTGATGCGGTGGTGGCTGCAAGCCGCTTTCCTTTGAATGCTGCTCGATGGATGCGATTTTTGCTTTTGCTTTGCGGAGATGTGGAAGAGAACCCTGGCCCGAGACGTGGTCAGATGGACTTGACGGTCGGTTTCGCGAAAGCCACAGCGGATCGGATGAAGCGCTGCTATGAGGCCTTTGAAGTTTGGTGCCAGGAACAGTTGGAGATCCCTTTAGACCAGTTGGTCACTGACATGCAGGGGCTGGTTTGGTCTTTGCGTGCTTACGGTATGTACCTTTTCGAATCTGGTTTGCCTCGATACCTTCTTGTCTATGCAATCACAGCTTGCCAGGACCTTTACCCAGCTTCTCGACCTTATATGACAGTTGCATGGCAAATTGACAAAAAATGGCAGTTGCATGAGCCAGGAAGCTGCCGAGCAGTGCTTCCTTTAGTCGTTGTCAAAGCCATGGCCTGTCTGGGGGCCCTTTGGGGATGGTTTTCTTGGACAGGTATTTTCCTCTTAGGTTTCATCGCTATGCTGCATCCCAGTGAAATGATGGCTTTAACAAGACGTGACTTGGTTTTCCCAGTCGATCTTAACTACGATTCAACATCTTTATATATCAGAGTTCGTGACCCGAAGACTGCTAGGTTCGCTCGTCGTCAGCACAGCAGGGTGGACGACCCGAGCGTCATTGCCATTGCCTTCGCTATTTTTGGTAAGTTGCAGTTGGATGAAAAATTGTTCCCTGGATCCATGCATGTGTTTCGCCGTCAGTGGAACAGCATCATGGAGCGACTTGGCGTCCCCTACAAACAGAAAACCCAGGGCGCGACCCCAGGTGTGCTCCGAGGATCTGGAGCAACTTTTTATTACACTGCTACTGAAGATTTATCTTGGGTCGCATGGCGCGGCCGCTGGTCTCGAGTTAAAACTCTGGAATATTATTTGCAAGAAGTTGGTTCGCAGATGTTGATCCATGAACTTGATAGTTGGGCCAAAGCTCGCATATTTCCTTTGGCCGAAGCTGCGCCGTCTGTCTTATCCCAGTTGTTCAACCTTGCAGGGCAGTAATTTAGGAATGGATTCAGTTCATTTTTGGCAGCTTCAGGATTTGGATATCAGCTTTCAGATTCATTTGGAGTTGTCATGACAATCTGTCTGTGTGCTATGCAGCACTTTGGTCGGACAGCCGGGACACTTTGCTACCGCAGGTGGCAGAAAAAGAGCAGCAGAGAGCGTGGTGAGATTTATATATATGGTACCCCCCCAAATGTCTACCTCTTTTGGTTTTGATTGGTATTTACAGTGTTTTATGCATATGTTTGAGTATAAAGAAATACAACAAAAACAAAGCACGTTTCAATTCAAAAAACAAAAACAAATGAATGGAAACACATAAAAATACTCAAAAACACCTATCCCCCATTTTGAGTATTTGTTTACCATTGCAGACGTTTGCGTTCAGGAAGTTTATGAATGCTCCTTCCACACTGTACTCAGCACAAAATCTAGAAATAGCGTTTGCAAACGTTTGCAAACGAGAGGGGATCAAGATTCAAGATTTACGATTCAAGATTTAAGATTCAAGATGCAAGATTCAAAAATAAGTTCTTGAATCCTGGATTCAAAACTTGAATCCAGTAGTTTGGAATCTTGGATTCAAAAACTTTTTTTGAATCTTAAATCTTGAATCTTGAATCCCCTCTCGTTTGCAAACGTTTGCAAATGGTTGCAAACGCTATTTCTGGATTTTGTGCTGAGTACAGTGTGGAAGGAGCATTCATAAACTTCCCGAACGCAAACGTTTGCAATGGTAAAACAAAACATCAAATACTCAAAACAAACACGTATATTTTTTGTTGTTGGCAGCGTTCTAGTACAATAAACCTTCCAAAAACACACTAATCTAGCTCAAGCAATTCTATTTCAATTCTATCTTAATTCTAACCCTATTCTCTTTGAAACGATGAAACTTAGATTAAATCTTAGTTTAGTTAAAATAGTTATGTCTATTCTAGTTTTAGTGGTGTGTACATGTCAATGTATTTGCAATTAAAATTTTGCTTCAGCTAGTTTACATCTTATACAATTCAATTTTGAGTGGTGTTCAATTCTATTTTAATCTATGTTATCTATGTTTATTTCAATTTTGTTTTGCTTCATTCTAATCTAATTTTAATTCGATTCTAGTTCAATGCCAATGTATTTAAAATTCAATGCACATTGAATTCTCATTTAACTCTGATTTTTTTCTAGAGAGAGGGCTTTGCTGGGGGTGCATAAAAGACATAACTAGATTACAAAAAATTGAATTATATTAGATTTAAACATAAACTGCATAGAAATTAAATTGAAAGAACATAACCATTAACTAAAAAAATTTTGCATTCGATTTATGGAAGTTACTCGACATCAAAATTGAATTGAATGATAACTGGAATAGAATTAACATGTAATTACAGTAGATTTAAATTAGGTCATTCAGAATGTCACTCATGTGGTTCGGTGTCTTAAAGGTTGTTTTCTTGAAATCACACCCCCTGCAAAACCCTCTTCTAGACTAAAGTCATAATTAAATGAGAATTCTATTTGTATTGAATTACATATATATTTGCATTGAACTAGAATCGGGTTCAAATCAAAATTGAATTAATCAAAACTAAATTGGTAATCAAAATAGAATTTAATTATATAAAAAGGTAGACATTTAGGGAGGGTAGCATATATATATATATATATGTATGTGTTGCATTTGTATAGAAACCTGGAACCTGAGTGACCTCTATTTTGGACCAACCACCCCAAATATGGTCCAACTTCTTATCAAAACAGGGGGTCATGTCTGGTATAACCAGATAAAACCAATATATCATTATGATTGACTAAACCCTAGAAGTCCAGTTCGACTATTCTTGGGACCAAAGTGAAGGAAGTTCTTTTTTCACTTGTTGGGTCACCGGTTGTCAGACCATGGTAAAAATAGTCCTGGACTCCTAGGAACAAGAACGCTACGTACGGGGCTCCTGGCATCGCGACTCGAACGGAGCAGGGGCGCTACGAGCGTAGCTCCTGGCATCGCTACGAACGGAGCAAGGGTGCTACTAGAAGCCAAGAGCACAAAGTAGAAGCTGCGACTGTCCCTCTTCATCCCACTCCACTCCTCTCCTCCACTCACAGACACCTTCATGACAGACGCCTTCCACGCAGGTGCAAAAGGCGAGCGACGAGCCGACGGACCGACTTGCGGCTGGAAAGAGATGCGCATTCCGAGATCCTTCTGCCCTAAGGATCAAGGACCCGACCCGTTCGGTGAAGGTTTGGTTCGGGTCCAAGGGCCCCCTGCGAAAAGCAGGGTCCAAACCCTCCAGAAGTGGTCGGGTCCAATGATCCTTAGGGTGGTGTGTATCTTTCTATACCAGGACCCGATCAACAGGTCTCCGACATGGTTTTGGCAGACAAAGTCGGTGGTGACCTGTGAAGTCGGGTGCTGGTAGAGATCAGTTGGGCAAGCTGGCGACGTTGGAACATGATTAGGAACTCGAGTACTGCCAGGAGCTACGTTCGTAGCTTCTCGTTACTAGTAGCAATGCCCTTTGATACGTTCGTAGTAAGGCCAGCTTCGCCCCTTATACTCGTAGCGTCCGATCGCTCCGTTCGAGTCGCGATGCCAGGAGCCCCCGTTCATAGCTTGTTCCGTTCAGTAGGATAACTGTATGCGGCATGGACCGTCCTTCCGCACCGGTCAGAGTCCAGCATGGCCTGTGCCCCCCGGAAGGGCCGTACCGGTGGCGACCCCCGTGGCGTTCGAAAACCAACGGAGACTCCGCCGAGCCGAGGAAATCAGGTGAAACCGCCGTCGGAAGAACGTGAGGTTCTGAAGTCGCCATGAGAGGTGTCCCGCCTTCAGCCATTCTGAACAGCCGTCAGGTTGCTCAAGGAAAAGAAAGTTAAAGTGAAAGTTGTTTTAGCCAGAATGCATGGAGGAAAGCAGCTGTTAGACCGACCGCTTAGGTCTCCAAATGTGGTTGAGATTTAGATCATGGCTTTGTCACTCACTGATCTTCAAAACAAACATGGCCAGGGGCCGTTTTTGGGGATGAGTTATTTTCAGAGCGAGGAACAGCAAGCGAGAGAGTGGATCCTGAGCGCCGAAACCGGATCAGACGAAGCCCGAAACGGCTGGAGCTTCTTCGTTTCGATGCAGTAGCCAGTGGCTGGCATGATCCTCCAAGGACCGGGAGTTTCACGGCCAGCCGTGAAGATCGAACGGAGATTTACTAGGAAGAAAGAAGATGAGAGCCTTTCAAATCATGGATCAATCGGTGCAGTTCTGCTGCTCATTGAGATGTTGTCAATTGAAGGTTGGAATCTGGCAGAATCCCAAACAATGTCACTCATGATGAACCACCTCTAAGTTCCGGGCAACTCGATGGAAAACTCGTGCAAGTTGCGGGCAAAACTATGGAAATCATGCGTGGAGGGTTGAAAAACATTCGGATTCACATTCCCCGGGTCAAACTGGGAGTTCAAGTGATTCGGGTGACTAGAAGGGCCTCCCCACACTCTTTGGGCACAGACATTCGTGCAGCAAACCACGACTCACATCTGCCAAAAACGACTGCAGAGTGGTTTCGACACCACCCTGCAGGGCGGTTTGGCCCAGCAGGCCCATCCGCAGTGGGAACGACCTGGACCTGGCTCCGTCGACATCGGACATCGGAGGACCAATGGAGATGAGGACATCGGATGGCCAGGAATGAGGCGTGGAGTCCACGGCGGCGGTTTGGTTGGCCCGGCGGAGCGCGCCCGGCGCTCCGCGCCCCGCGCTACGTAGTTTCAGTATGTTTCAGTAATTCGGGAATAAACACATGCGACTAGGCCAAGTTAGCTTCCAGGTAGGACGCAGGATATCTCACGCTTCTTCAAGGAGAGCGCTTCTTACGAATCGGTTCGATGTTTAGGGAAGCGACTCTCTCATGGCTCGGAGGTCTTGAAGGGGGTCAGTGGGTCCGATTGAAGGCTTACAGGCATGGAGCCAATCCTTGGGTTACCGTGGAAAGTGTGCCCTGTTCACATCGGGGTCTTGCTGTGTCGGTGGTTCGTTGGCTCAAAAAGAGACCACATGCCCCACACCCTTGGATTCCCACCACCATGAGTTTAATGGGCTGAATCCGCTTCAGCGGCCATTGTTTTACTCAGCAAAACGGGCACAAGAGAGGATGAGCATTGAAGGCGTGCTCCCTGTTGAGGTGAGCATCCCTGGTGTGAAGCTACGCGCTAAATGTCGAAGCCAACAACCTGTTCCACCATGTTACATCACCAACGGTTTGTTGGGGCAATAGCCCTTCAAGAACAATATCATTGTGTATATATATATTATATATATCGTTATATAGTTAAAATAATATGTGTCTGTTAGTTAGTTGTCCGTGGTACCTGCCCATGTCGCACGTACGTCTTGAGCCTCAGCTTTTTTGATTCCCATGAAATGGGACCACCTACATCAGTCCATCCGAAAAGCTTGCCGGCTCGAATTTGGCAAACCGGTGTGACAAAGATCGACCTGAATCGTCCAGCGCAGTTTTGCCAAAACCCAAAGCGCGGCCATGTGTTCTCTTTCGATGCTACCAACTGAGAGCGTATTTCTGCTGGCCATCGCTATGAGGTTGGAGGCCATCGCTAGCCAAACTGTTTTAGCTAAGCATGAACATCCCTGATACGAGGGAACCATGGTTGTCAGCCGAGTGACTGTCCAGTATATGTGCCACAAACGGAGTTGCTTGAGCCACAAACGTGGACCTGCATGCAGCTGAGAACACCAAAAGCCACGAAAACACCCAGGGATGGCTCGGAAGATCTCATCGAGATGGTACACTCTGCATCGTCAAAAGCGAGACACACTCACTATGAGAAGAGCAGCAGAACAGAAGCTTTTGCAATAGTACACCCCAAAGAAAAGAGTACACCATAGTACACCCCAACCAAGTCTCTATCCATGCTCCCTGCCTCCTGTTTCCAGGCCGCTCTGAGAGAACTGCTGGCACGCTACCAGTGGGGGCAGCGAACTCGTGCCGAGTGGGTTCGAACACTCGATCCAGGTAAGGAAGTCGGTGGTCCCAAATCCGAAAGATTCAAAACCTCTAGATTCAAAGTAAGGCCAGGAGCCCCTAGTAGCTTCTTGCTCCTAGTAGTGAGAATGCTACTAGTAGTACGGCCAGGAGCTACGCTCGTAGCGTCCTTGCTCCGTTCGAGTCGCGATGCCAGGAGCCCCTTACTCGTAGCGAACATTGCTCCGTTCGTAGGTTCTCTACTCTAATTTTTGTTAAGATGTTCTAGCCATACCCCTGAATGGGGTGACAGGTTTTGACCCGGAAACCAATGCCCGTCCGCGTGGTCCGCGTGGTCCGCGTGCTCGGTCGCCGCGTGCTCGTGGCGTTTGGGCATGTTCCCCATCTCCAAGGAGATTCGTTTATTGAGTTGTGTGGCTTTTGTAGATGGTTGGGTATGAGGTAGAGGCTTTTGTGGCTGTCCTTTCTTTTTGGACTTTGAGACTTAGAGCTGTTTTGTTTGTTCCTAAATCCTTTCCTTCTTTCCAAAAAGGAAAGGAGGGAAACGAAAGGAGGGAAACTCCGAATCTACCTTGCGTGTTCACTCTGTAGTACAGAGATACCCTGAGATCCCCGTATGGCCATGAAGACTCTTGTCTTCACTCCTAAGGCCAAAGAACGTAGTAAAGAACTAGCGCACAAACAGTATACTATATATATATATAACAAACAAAACCAAACAAACATAAACAAACAGACTATAACAAACAAACAAACAAACAAACACAAACAAAGTTAATGAAAGTTTAAAAAGGGTGGGAGCTGACGCGAGAGAATCTCACCCTGAGGCCGGAACTGGCCGGGCGCTTGGCGAAGCGAATCGCCCAATATGGGGCCACCGATGCGGTCCTGGCCGAAGGCACGGCTTTGGCTGTACTTGTTATACCTACTGTAGGTAAACTAGATGAGCAAACGTTCGGTTCGCGTCCTTTCTCGCTCCGTTCGTAAGGCCGGGAACTCGCCCCGGAACTCGTAGCGTCCGACCGCTCCGTTCGTAGTAAGATATATTAGACCTTTCTTCCTTTTCTTGTTTCTTTGTTTCTATTAGCGATGGCCTCCAACCTACTAGCGGCAAGGCGTAAAGGTACACCAATACAGACAGTATCTAGGGATATCTAGGCAAATATTTAAACCTCCAATCACCTCTTTTGGACCTTTGATGACCTTGGTCTCACGAACGCATCTTCTTTGAAAGAGTCACATGTTTCTTTGCTTCTCACAGCCGCCAGGGGCGAAGCCAGAGCCCTCACCGCTTCTACGGGACATCATCGATGCCGCGCTCGCCGAGGAGAAACGAGGAAACCCTCAGATCAGTGGATCACCGAGCTGGTGCAAATTGGGGACACCCCGCTAGTCGCCGCTAGGCGGTTGGAGGCCATCGCTACTAGGGAAAGTTCGCTTAGCCCTTTTTCCCCATTGATCTCTGGGTCGGGAGTCAGAGAAGGGCGCTTGGAGGATATTGGAGGTGCTGTGGTGGACATCTTCTGGGAGAGCTGGTCCAAGAAGATGGGTGGGTGCTGGATTTGTTTATGTTGTCATGGTTCTGAAAGACCTGTCCCTCTCCTGGCTGGTGTCAAGCTACTCTTGGTGATTTGAGAGCTGATACCGAAGATTGAAATGATAAGTTTCAGTGTTCATTGCAGCTTTTCACCAAACCGCGGAATCGCCATTTACCAAGCAAACGACTGGTGATTGGACACTGGGTGGAATATGTAGACCCCAGTTTTCTTCTCCGGCCCACAAGAGTTTGCAAGCTTTCTTGGCACGCGAGCCAGACCTGGTTCAAATAGGGGGCCAGGATTCCAAAGTCGCACTAGAGTCACTAGATGTTGATACTTATCTGAATCTGAGTGTCAAATGCATGATTGAGATGATCTTAAATGGCCTTGTAGCTCAAAACCACCCAGCCATTTACCTGCCCAAAACCCTAGAGGCGCTCGAACCCTGGAACAGCATTCACAATCACTCAACTGGCAAGGAGACTGTGGATGTGTATGGAGACCTCCCAGTTCGACCTGGAACAAGGAAACAAACCAGTCTACCATTGGTTTGCATCTTCCTATTACCCACACCCATACCCCTTCACCGCCCCTACCAGGAGCTGGGTGATGGAGGCCTATTCGACGAGACTGCAGTACCTCAGGCGCGAAGTACGAGGTCAGGTCATGCGAGAAAACCAGATGTGTGCTGTGTGGCGGTTGTCAACGGCTTCAACGAACAGAAAAGACTTTGGGGGGGGGGTAGGACGCTAGTAGCTTCTTGTTACTACTAGTAAGGCACCTGTTACTACTAGCGTGGCACTTGTTTCTAATAGCTTCTTGTTACTACTAGTAAGGCAACTGCTTCGATGTTCGGATCTCGAACACCTTGGCTCGATGGCGAATGCACCCAGACCTTCAGACTCACCCAGGCCGCCCAAGCTGCTCGTGTCACCGATGTGGCGAAAGGTGCGAAGCTGCTTGGGGGCCGAGATCGACGTGCAAAAAGAAATGCTACTAGGAACAATTGCATCGCTACTAGAAACAAGTGCCTTAGAATTTAATTAGAAATGTAATTTTAATCAGAATTAGAATTCTAATTAATTAGTAGGCCTCCAACCTACTAGCCATGGCCTCCAACTTTAATAGCCATGGCCTCCAACCTAATAGCCATGGCCTCCAACCTACTAGCCATGGCCTCCAACGTTAATAGCCATGGCCTCCAACCTACTAGCC